GCCCCCCAGGCCCTCCTCACTCGCTCTGGAAGGAGGAAAGGCAGGGCTCTTCGGCTGGGCACATGCTCCATGCATTTATAACACTTTCCACCTCCTTCTGCCTGAAGGACAGATGCAGACTTAAAGCACAACTGAGTTTTATTTTTCTTACAAAAGATGTACAACATAGGTTTTAATTTTCTTTCTTTTTTGGAGAGGTAGAGTATTTCACAGCTCAGTGAGACAGGTGTTGTAAAAAGATGTTTGCAATAAATTTTGATGGGGCGGCCTGACCCCAGATGAAGCTTTCAGCAGCTCCTGGGCACGAAAGCCAAGCTGGAGAAAGCAGGCTGCGCCAGAGCCATAAAGTGCAGTGGGCGAGCGGGAATTCAATGATGTGTTTTAAGAAGTGTCTTTATGGCATTGTGCAAGATGGTGCTCAGAAAGGTGAGGGCAGGCTGCCGCAGAGGAAGGCTCCTCTTTGGGGGAAGGCCAGGTGGGCAGGGCTGATAACAGTAAGGCTCTGGGGACAGTGGCAGGGACATTAATCACCTTAGTGCACCATCCCCTAAGAGCAGGGTCTTGTCAAATCCTGGAGCACGAGCGGCGCTAAGAAAGAGCACAGGGCCCCTCGGAGAGGCCTGCTCCCCATAAGGCCCTGGCCTCCACGACACAGGGATGTGCCAAGGCCGCTTCCCCAGGAGACAGGTGGGGAAAACTGTGTGCCCAGAAAACTTCCCAGTTCAACAGTCAAATCAGATAAACCATCCGCTCTGCATAAAATCCCATGGGGGTTGACTCATGAGTAACTCGCCCCCGCCCTGTGCACGTGGAGGCTGGAACATGAGCAAACAAGGCTCGGGATACGCAGGTCAGGCTCCCGCATATGAGACCACAGGGAGACAAGTTTACACATGTCCGGTGTCGCCATGGACAGAACACAGAGAGGAGACAGGCCCGAGGGGCAAAAAGGAAAAGGGCCACTGTGTACAAAATGGTTTTGATGTGACCTCAGCACAACCTACAAATCAGGTGCTGTCGGTCCCGTTTCACAGATGAGAAAACTGAGGCTCAGGACGTGAGGAAGCAGTGGTGCTGGAGCGTGCCCGTGTCTGATGACACCAACGCCCCCACTGCAGGTCAGCAGGCTCCATGACCCCTGCCCTGGAGGCCAGCCCCTGCTGTGATGACAGAGTCCCCAAATGCCCCCCCGTGCCCAACCTTAGGGCCCTTCGCACCGAACTGCTTCCACCATTTTCTGATGAAAAGGCACTGCCTGGGGGATACTGAGGGAATTAAATTAGAGAAATTAACTCTGGCCAGTGAAGGTCTCCCCAAGACGGAACGAAAGTCTCTTGGCCAGGAAGATGCAGCCCGATGGCGCTTACTGACCTAGAGGGAGAATGGGTCCGCAGAAGCAGGCAGTCTTCTTGAAGGGGGAGAAAAGGAAGGCCCGGAGTCTGGCAGAATTTAGCCATCTGTCCAGAGGACTCTCCGAGCCATGGACTGAGGCGTCCTGCCCCTGGGGCCCGGAGCAGGCACGCCACACGGCGTATAGACTGAAATACTGAGCGAGTGCCCAGGGAAGGGGACCCGTGGTGGGTAAGTCCACCCTTGGCCGGGAAGCTTGACCAGCCTGTCCGGGGCAGTGGGATCAGCTTCCAAAATCATTCAGCCAGCCCCCCAGCTAAGAACACATGATGGTGAGCAAACTTAAGGCTACGATGTGGCTTCCACGTGGCTCTTCCACAGGGAAGGGAGGCCCTGCCCAGTCGTATGAGAGTATCCAGACCCCCCGCTATAATTCCCCACCATGAAGGGCACATCAACCTATCCACTGGTCTCTTGTGAGTTTGCTTACTGTGTGTCAGTCTTTGAGAAAGGATCGTCTCAGGCACAGGCAGATGTTTGGAGGCCTAGGTAGGGATTTCCCCAAGAGAAAGGAGAGCACATGTCCGTCAACGACATGTACGAGAACACTCAGGGCAGCTTTATTGCCAACAGTCCCACACTAGAAACCCAAATGTCCATCAATAGGAGAATGCGACACAGACTGAGCTACATCCACACGGTGGAATATTATGCAGCAATGAAAAAGAGCAACCTGTTGACACACCCAATAACGTGGACGAATCGCACAGATATGGAGTAAAAGGCGCCGACACCCTGCATCCCTCTGTCCATATGAGGCTCAAGAAGAGACAAGAACAAACAGAAGACTAAATAGCTGCATGAGGGTACTGATAGGAAAGGGGCTCAAACGAACCTTCTGGGACGACGGCAGTGTCCTACCTGTCAACCAGAGTGGCTGTGGCACGGCTGGATACTCAAGTACAAGTACTGAAGGTCTGCACACTTGGTGCACTTCACTGTACAGCAGGGGTCCCCAGTTCCCAGGCTGCGGGCCGGTACTGTCTGTGGCTTGTTAGGAACTGGGCCGCACAGCAGGAGGTGAGCGGTGGGCGAGCGAGCAAAGCTTCACCTGTATCTGCAGCCGCTCCCCAGCACCAGCATCGCCGCCTCAGCTCCGCCTCAGATCATCAGGCATTAGATTCTCATAGGAGCCCCGGTTCCTGGTGCCACAAAGGTTGGGGACTGCTGCGTCCAACATAACTCTGCCACAAGTGTAAACTATAATGAAGAAAAGGTGTAGGGTCTTCAAGGACCAAAGCTCAGGCCCCAGTCAGAGGGGGAGTCCGGCTGAGGCAGCCCCCAGGGTAGTGGTTTAAAAATATGCCCTGAATTCTTCGATTCTCTTCCCATGCAAAGGTGGAGCCTAATTTCCTTTCCCTGGGATGTGGGCCGGACTCCGTGACGCGATTCTAAGCTCTAGAATAAAGCAGGTCACCAAGAGGCACTGTGGCTTCCAGCTTGGTCTCCTCATCCTCATCACAAGCTCTAGGGAAAACCGGCTGCCATGTCATAAGGACACTAAGCAGCCCTGTGGCAGTCCAGTAGTGAACTGAGGCCTCTAGCCAACAGTCGCCTCATGTGAGTGAGCCACCTGGGAATGGCTCACTCCAGCCCTAGCCAAGTCCCCAGACCTCCTGAGAACACTGAGCCAGAACCACCCAGCTAAGCTACTCCCAGGCTCCTGACGCTCAGAGACTGGGAAGATAATAAATGTTTGCTTTTAGTAACCGCTTTGTTACTAGGGTAATTTGATATGCAATAACAGATAACTAAAACAGAGGTCTCGGTGTCTCATCTCCACAAGCTACCATCTGACACCTGCCGGGGGCTTCACACCTGGTACTGGGGTGCCAGGGGCCAGGCTACCCTCTTCGCACACCCCTGACTGAACACTGAAGCCCAATTTGCCATGGTTCCTTCACAGCCCTGACCTTTCCCTGGCAATGTCCCACTGGCTTGACCGCATTCTGGACTTGGCTTCCTCCTCCTGGAGTAGAAGTGCTGTGAAGTTGGGGTCCTTGCCTTTCTCACTCGCGGCTGAATCCCCAGCAGCAGGACAGTGCTGGCCATATAAAAAGTGCACAATAAAAACGGACCGACTGAATGAATAAAGAGCCCATCTCTGAACCGAGAGACACCACAGGAGCCTAGGAATCCCTGGCTGATCCGCTTCATGAGGTCCAGAAGTTTTCAGTGGCACCAAGGAATGGGAGGGGGCGGGGAGCCAGATCCTAGAAATCGAGGCAGATCCGAAGCAGGTGCCTGGGCCCCTGGCTCTTTCCTAGCGCCCTGGGTTGCTGTCCCCTGACAGAGAAGGGGAAGCAGGGCTCCCTATGGGGACGGTCCCCCTGCCAGTGGTCTTTGCCAGGCCCCTCCCTACACCCTGCTCTGCCAGAGTTCTGGGGCCAGAGCTGAGCGCATGACAAGCACTCCTTGTGTCCACAGAGCAAACTCGAGTGCTTTCTGCCAGCAGCGCTTTAAGATCCCAGGGTAGGCCGCGCAACTCATAAGAGGTAAGTCATCTTAAACTCTACCTCCAATCCTGAGAGGACGCCTTCCCTTCACCCCCAACCAGGGCCAGCCCCAGGCCTGCCTTCTCAGCCCCATTGGCCAAAGCCACTTCACAGGCAGGCCCAGCCAATGAGCTGCTTTCCCTGCCCTTTTGAAAGGGGATCCAGCCGGGAATGGTTACAGGGGCCCAGAGAGCGGGCCCTGAAGGGCAGGGGCAGCTGGACCGGCAACCCGGGCAGGGCTATTTGGGGCTCTGCAGGTCGGGTTGCTTCCCTTCCCAGCTCTGTGTGGGAGTGCCCAGAGTCCAGCCCTGGGACTCGTGCCTGTGAGGGAGCTGGAGGAAGTGGCTTGATTCCTTGGGCAGAGGATGTCTCTGCTCTCACAGACAAAATGCCCATCTCTGCCCTGCCCCGCCAGCCCTTCTGTGTCCCCGGGGAGAAGGGCAGAGATTGCTCACAAGTGGCCAGAGACCAGTGATGAGGACGAAAGGGAACCAGACCACGTGCCCAGAGAGGCAGGCCCTGGAGAAGCGAGATGGAGGTGGGACTGGCCTACCTAGGGAGGCCACTCCTTGGGGCTATCTGATCCCACCAGGTGGGACACCAGCCCTAGAGCTTTTCCTCAGCCCATTCACTGCCACTCTGCCTAGAATGCCACCACTTGAGAAGTCATACTATGCAAAACATTGAGAGTTTGGGAACCTAATGTCAGCTCTGCCACAAACTCCAAGTGACCTTGGGCTAGGCTATTCGGCTCAAGCACGGCGCCTCAGTTTCCCTCCTGCACAATCGAGTAATGTAGTAGGTCCTGGATGATCTCTGGGGGTGCCCTGTGACCCATTCCAGTGAGGTAAGGCCACTTTCTTCATACTGACCCTGACGGGGGACCTGGACCCTGTCTGGGGTGAACTGATTTGTGGGGCTGGGCACACGGGGGGCGTGGCTATGAATGGGGGGGGTTCCATACCAGGGCATACGGGGCCTCAACTTCCTCAGGTCTCTAGGTGGGAGAGACTGCTTGTGGGGTGCAGTCCAGCTTCGGAAGGCCCACGTGGAGCCGTCCTCGCCCTTTCGCCCCCCGCCCCTGCTTTCACTTACATTTTGCCTCCTTCCAGTCGGTGGAGGTGCTCAGGTCCACCTTCGCCGCCATGGCCAGGGGGGCCCAGGTGCGCACCCTACTTCTCCACCCCACCGCCGCTGCCGCCCAAGCCCCAACTCTC